AGTGGACGAGCATTTCGGGGTGAGTTTCTCATTGACGCTGTGCCATGAACCACTCTGGTAGATGCGGCTGCACATATATGTTCATAGACCCATGCAGCAGTGCTCAATATCAATTGTACCTCATAAATGAAGCGATAAGAGTATCAGCGTCGATTGACTGTACGGCCGATTGTGGGCGGACGGTCGGCGTTCGGGCGGGCATTTTGCACCTTGATAGGCGCCATAACGGTGTCCCTGAATGGAGGGGCGCCACGGAGCGTTTGCTCAGGACGACAATATTCTTACAAACTAGGTGTACTTATTCTATATGACTTGCCAATTTCTCGTGCCACGAAGCAAAGGGTCAGGGAAGGGGGGCCGAGGTGGTAAATGTGTTCTTGGTATAGGTTTGTGGGAAAAAGCAGAAAATTCTGAATAAATTTTATTTTTCAAAGTAGTCTCCCAATACACTTGTTAGTTCGGAAAAGTAACTTTTCGATACCAAAAATTTCCTCGTTGTCCCCAAAATGTGCGCTAATAGCCGCTTTCAGCTCTTCATTGTCAGAAAAATGCTTTCCCACGAAGATCCCTTCTCCAAGCTGAGAAACGAGCAATCACTAATCAATTTTCTTTTCATTTTCTCACTTTTCTTTTCATTTTTCTCTATTTTTCAAATCAGTAATCATTTTCTCAACATTGTCGCATCAGTCATTCTGGTCTTCTTTCACCAAGGATAACTAGAATAGCATTGATGATAACTAATGAAATTTTGTATTTATACCCTCAGGGAGTGTCGTTACCTACTGAATAATTCGAATTCCTAGTCACCGCGGAATTACCCCGAGACCGAGACTTTGAACGGCAATCGTACTACAACTGCTGTCAATGGTCGAACCTCTTACAACTACTTTTAGGGGCCACTTGTCCGGTACTGGTTCAAACTATACACCACTACCCGTAATATGTACTAGTTAATCGTCTGTAACTGTATATGGATTGACTGTCACCTAAAGCAAACGTATTCAAAAACCACAGTTGTGTTGAATAGGAAGGGGAAGCATGTCGCATCTCAAAAAAGCTGAGCAATTCTCTTCCCTGATTTTCTTACAACTATCGAGAAATTTTTCAAGAAAGATTATTCAGATTTAGTCACAACTCTGGTTGGATTATTCTAGGCAACTCGCTACTAAAAATTGTGCATATCCTTGCTGTCCGTTCGACACCATTCCCTATATTCGAAGCAAGCACAAAGGTGGGTTTGTCAATTAAGATTTGTGGCTCACAGCTAGCGCATAAAGATGTGGGTCTTTAATTCCAAAATCTTGCACGAATCCATAGATTTCATAGTAAGTTCCTGGCATATCTGGAAAGGCTAACCTTTCTTTTTTGGGGAACTCGTTGAAGGTGTCACGTGACCTTCAGTCCAGGTCTACGGAAGACTTGAACTCAATCCCTTTAAACGCGTCGATCTTCTCTTTTTCTCTGCATTCTCGTCCGCATGGCACTCTATGGCCGTTGTGACTTCGCTCACTCCAGCTTTTCACCGACTATAAGTAGCTCACCCACCCCGGAGTCCCCTCCCTTGAAAAATCCCGTTTCCTGGCTCGCCATACGTTTTTGCACGTTTCGATGCTTTGGCAGCCGCTGCCCTCTATCCGTCTGCGTCACAGGGTTTCGTAACAGGACCATGCACAAAAGTTCAAGATGTCACGTAACCGTCCAAACTAATAGTGTGCAGATGACGCGCCACGGTAAAAATTGACAGTCAGTAAGGGTTCATTGTGCAAGAATCTTTCTCAGAATGATGTACGTAATTTCAGGAGCAACGGTGGCAACTGCAATATTCCTTGCACATAATCGGCCGAAGTGACAGTCGTTATAACAGCAAATGCAGCGAACAACGCAGCCTAGCAGCCCCAGCCCTCAGGTCAGATTTTATTTTCTTCATGTTCAGTTAGTTCTAGATGGTATAATCTGCGATATAAGCGATTTATCCAGAAGTCCCGGAGATTTCTCACATCCCAGGGAGAAGGCTTCCACGTAAATGTTTTAAGATAAATCCGGGTATTTGAGGAGAGGGTCGTTTTGTTGCACTCCCATGAGTACGAGTTGGTAGGCATTGTGGATTAGAAACGAGTCGTTACATCCAGTTTGAAACGAAAAAGCCCGCCTGAATAATTAACGACTCGTTCTAGTCGCAGCCATGCTACACTCGTAACTCATGGAATGGGCAACAGAAACGACGCCTTCACTCACTAACTAAACCAGCGTTATTGCTAGTTGCTCAACATATCTGCACATCAGATCAAAACCATTCTCCACGATTGCCAGCTGTACCACAACATGGGTCAATTCCTGTACCAACACGGGCTATTAAAATTCCCGTGAGTTATTAGTGTCGAACTCGTCTCGAATTGTAGGAAACTGAAAGGCAAGCGGCACGATGAATCCCCAGGACGTGTAGGATTGAGATGCCTAGCAGGACAGATTCCGGCGCACCTAAGCAGGCGCTGCGTTGCCCCTTTCTCAAGGAAATTACCCTTATGGGGCCTATAAAGCTGCAACATACCGACCCGCCCACCGCACCGCCCGCCCACAAATGTCCGACCGATGCTGATGCTCGTATCGCTTCATTTGCGAAGTAGAATATGAAGCGAAGGGCTTGATATAAAACGGCTGTGCTACTGCATGGATCTGTGAGCACGGCTCGCCATCATCGTGGTCGTACTTTACCGCGAGGAAGGGATGGGGGGGGGGTCGAAAGCGCAGGAGCTTCGTAGCATTTGTTGTGGGGCAGTACCTTCAAGTGGCCAAAACAGGTGAATTTGCCCGGCTGTGGTCGTGCGATGAAGCAAATGAATCCAGGTCTCAGCATTGTTTCTGTCGGAGCAGTGTCCAGTAATAGGCCAGTTGGTATCCGACATTGTGATGAGCAACGATGGTTTTCTTGTTTGTGTGCTGTAACTTGTCTAAAGAAAGGCAGTATCCATCGACAATGGCAGTTTTGCACTTTGGGTAGAGCCGCTTACAAGCCACAGCGCAGAAGTCTGCTGCCATAATTATTATCCGCTTGGGCTCACGCAACTCCTCATTACAGGAATCAGGCTATTTCATTTCATTCATTCAGCGTCTGCGCTTGTGAGTTTTGGATCGGAGTACAGGACCTTATTTCTCTAGGGCCAACGTGCATTTTTACAGTCGGAAATCGCATATTGGGCAGAGTCCTGGATAAAATGTTACGCATTCCTGCTTCTGTAAAAAAATGAGGCATTCAAGAACACGCCCTCTCAGGCAGCGTTCAGACTTCGCGACGGCGCCGTTTCGGTCGCGCGTTCAACGCGATCGATGCGCATGATTTAGACTGCATCGATCGCGCCGAACGCGTGACCGTCGCGAAGTCTGAACGCTGCCATAAGCATTCGATTTTTCCGCGCGATGGTCGAGCGATTAGCAAGGCTTGTTCTCGGTAGGCGAAGTGCCGACAGAATTGGTTTTTTTTTTTTTCCCCATCCTCTTGTCAAAAAAAACTTCAACGCTGAACATGGTTCGTCCACTTTTCTTGTGCAGAGTTAGCATTATACTGCGCATCTAGGCTCAATCTTGCACTTGCCATCCATTTCAAAGGAAAAAAAATAACGCGATCGTCGTTCCAGCTCGTGATCATTTCGCGGTGTATTTTCCCATACGGCACCTGCATTCGATGCAACTCGCGCCGCCTGATTTTGACCGCACGGTCTCTCTTCAATTACCCCAGTTTTTCTATGTGTCCAGGTTGACCGAATTTTAAGAATATTCAGCTAAATAAGCCAGATCCTAAAAAGATTTACGCGCCCAAAACTTCAGCGCCTTCGCTTTTCCGTCAATCCTCTGTATGCCTTCAAATGTTTGGATGGGATGACCCAATAGAAAGACCGCTTTCAACAAGAAACCGTCGCCGAAATCCGGAAGACCTTTGGAACGATGAAGGCCAAGCAACTCGATGTTGATGGTTCTCTGAGGGTTATGCCTTGCGACTTACTTTCTTTTTCTTTTGAACGGGTTCTGCAGTAAGGGCACAGCATCGTCCGGGATGAAGTGGATGCGTGTAACGTCACACTCCTTCGCTGGATTTCAGCACGGCCCCTCTCACAACTTACCTCTTCACCTGACCATCTTCTCCCAGCTCCCTACTAATTTTTTTGTAACACATTCTTTCGATCTGCAGTACGTTCTAACTTTACACAGCTCTCCAAACAAGCAAAGTGAACAATAGCAACGAAAAAGGGCATTGATTTTTTTATTACGAGCTTTTTACCGAAATTCAAGGAAAGGTTTTACAAAACGATACGTGCAAAGATTACTAGTTGGCTCGAAGGCAAGAGGCACGATAAATTGACAGAGCGGGTAGGATAAGTACGTTATAGCGCCTAACCAAGGTGCAACATGCCGACCCAAATGCCCCCGCCCGCCCACAAATGGCCTTACACTCAGTTAATTGACGGTGGTACTCTTATCGCTTCATTTATGAAGTACAATTGATATGAAGCGTTGCTGCATGGATATATGAATACATACGTGCAGCCGTATCTATCAAAGCGGTTGTTGGCACGATGCCAACGGGAAACTCATCCACAATGCCCGACAATGCCGTACAGAATGAAATTTTTTTTCGCAAGTGTTTAGCCGTAAACTTTGCCTTATTTGACATTTTCCCTTCCCTTACATAGCACCCCTGGCTTCTATTTCTAGCAAGTGCCGAACCGTCATGCCTCATGCCTTTGAACCTCATGGACAAATTGCAAGAGTGCCACTGACTTTGAGCTGGCTGCACAGGCTTCTCAAGGAGGATGAGAATATTGCAATAGCTAGACGGAACAAAAACGACTGCATGAAAAGGGCTTCTATACAGGCTCGTGGTCATGAACAGCTAATTTTATTAAATCATTCAAAGTGGCAGATAATTTTTAAAGCGTAGTAAGAGTTCATCTTATTAAATTACAGGCATAATTCCTGGCATACCAAACACAGCGTAAGTACATAAGTTACGAATCATAGAGCACAGCATGGACGACATTCTGAACGTCGTCTACTGTGAACGCATAAGGGACACTGACGGCGATTCCTTTCTGTTTAACTATTCCCGTCAGATCGGTAGCTAAAATGAAGTTGCTATTAAACGGAACTGTTAGAAAGGAAAAGAGGGCAAGTTTGTCAAATATTTACCGTCAAAGCCGACCGCCACAATAGTAGTCTCACCAGGGGCCAAAGTTGGGGTCAGTTCTGGCAATCCATTTGTGTCTAGCCTGAAAATCCCCATTTCCTTCATTGCAGAACCACGTATTGCCAGAATTCTCAGCAACTTACTGCGCGGAGAAGAAAATCAGGCAGTTCACTTCTGTGAGTCTTGAATTCTTGTTGAGTATGTTGATTGCACTGAAATAATGTTACTGATGTTCTTGATACAGACATTTCTAGCCGAGGATACGGAGTACAGTGAAAAGTACCGAGGCGGAAGCTAGATTGAAGAACCTTGAGCTTTCTCAATACCTGACTAAGTCGGAAGAGCATTGGGCTGTAATTCATGCATAAAAAACTTCAACGTCAGCGCACATAGCGCAGGCGCCTAACGGTTTCGCCCT